GCGCACCATAGCGACTCTCCGTTCCCCAGGCGGGGACCGTGAGATGACCCAACAACGAAACCTCCGTCGAGAGGGAGCCCCCAAGAGCCTCACGGGCCGTCGGACGCCCAGGTAACACAATCGGAGAAACGACCGCTTGAAGATAAGTACCGCTTACTTACTTTAAGCAATAATTTCTTCACCGAACCATCGGACCCCACGCCTCGACGGCTCACGGTGTTTTTTTGTTCACCAAAGATAAATCGAACTCATAGTTCCTCGCACCACTAGCCTCGGCTCTCACCTTCCGAGAGGGGTTTGAGGGGTCCCTCAGAGAGCCTCCTTCATGGCGGAGAGTCTGTCAGACGACTAGGTCAATCGGGTGGCTCGAATCGCCACCGAGAGACAGAAACAAAAATTACGACGCTCGTGCAGGTCAAGCCAAACCCACAGAATCTCCACCGAGGAGAGGCCAACGTGCCCCCTAAGCCCATCAAAACGGCTCAGGCATCTACTGGGAGGCGGGTTGGAAAAAAGTGAAATACCACCAGCAGGCTCTACCGACCCCATCAGCAAATGATGGACCCGGATTTCACACGAACATACCCGTTAGCGAGCTCATTGAGCGTGACACTCGAGCCGTCGAGGCAAGTGTCGTCAACTCAACCCCTCCGGTAGCGAAAACCGAGGACGGGGTAACGCATGAAACATGGTCGACCCCTATCAGACCCCAACAGGGCTCGGGGACTCAAGCCACTCGATCCGACATCGAGAGACCGAGGTTTGAAGGCGGGTCCGCGAAGGGCTCGAGGCCGCCTCACGTCAAACAGAGCCAGGGAGAAATAACTGAGACGAGCCCCAGCGGCCCTGCCTGACCCCGCTCAGAAGCGGACAGGGGCGTCTCGACCTTTTCTCGTTCGAATCTAACCCCGAGCCAAACCCACAGAATCTCCACCGAGGAGAGGCCAGCAGGCCCCCGAGCCCATCGAAATGGCTCGGGCATCCGCCGAGGCGTGTTGGAAAAAGTGAAATACCACCAAGAGGTTTCACCGAACCCCATCGGCCAAATGATGGACCCGGATTTCACACGAACGTAGCCGTTAGCGATCTCATTGAGCGCGACACTCGAGCCGTCGAGGCAAGTGTCGTCAACTCAACCCCTTCGGTTGCAAAAACCGAGGACTCGGTAACGCGACGAAACATGGCCGACCCTATCGGACCCCAAGGGGCTCGGGGACTCAAGCCGCTCCATCCGACATCGAGAGACCGAGGTTCAGAGGCCGGCCCACGAAGGGCTCGAGGCGCCTCGCGTCAAACAAGAGCCTGGGAGAAAACGTAGATGAGCCTCAAACGGCCTTCGCCCATCCCGCATTAAGGCGGACAGGGTCATCTCAACCTTCTAAAAAGTTTGACCCAAACCCCCGCCAGAGCCCATAGGATCCCCGTCGGAGGGGAATCTGCTGGAAGGCGGGGCCAAAGGGTAACAAAACCGCCCGAGGGCTTTGCCGCATAAGCGCCGGACCCAGTTTTTTTTCGTTCGAACACCCCCGTTAGTAAGCTCATCGGACACGTCATTCGAGCCACCGAGGCAAATAACGCCGCCCCAATCCTCCAAACGTGAAGAAAGATGGGAACGAACACCACAAAACGAAGTCGTCTGCGTCTCCGGTAACATCCGACCCCCACAAAAACAAGGGGTCGAGATCTCACTCGAAATTTGGTAAAGGTATCGAATACCTCCTCTCTCTTCACCGAAATAAGTCTCTTTTGCCAAAAGGAAAGAAGGTAAGATCAAACAAAACGAAATCATGAAGCAAAATCATAAAACTGTTTCCGAACACGACAAGCACCGACATTAAGTTCGTGATATTACATATAACTACTCATCAAATTTATTTAACTAACTACTTCGCGGAGGAAGAGCCATCTCTTTCAATCATCCGCCAGTCCGCGCAAAAAGGTGCCACCGCCTTCTCCTTCTCGTCCCATTTCAGGATCTTCATAAATAGGCGCCAAGCCTTGGCTCATCACCTTGAGTTAATCTCCTTATCATAATGAGAATGGGCGACGGTAAAGGCTTGGGTGATCCGGCGCGTAAAAAGGCATTCCCTCAAGTTGGCTCACTCGCTGAGTGATACCATAACACGGCCGCGAGCGGGCTGGTCTCCATCGGCTCCACCACCTGCAGGGTGTCAAGGACTTCCCCAACGGCGATCTGCAGAAGGTCGTGCCCATCACTTTCAGCCTGAAGCACCCCTCGCACCTGGGCGAGCTCCCTTTTTAGTCCGGCGGAGACATTCTCGGCAGCCTGCTTCCGGGTCATCGCGGTTTCGAGATCCACACGAAGGGAGTCCGCCACCCGGCGTGCCTCGTCGTGCTCCCTAATGACCCGGTCACGCTCCTCGCGAGCTGCGCTGCCCTTTGAGCGAAATCTCTCCTCGGACTGACGCGCCTCGTCCCGCTCCCCGCGCAGACGATCGATCAGCACAGCGTCCTCGTCCACCTTCTTCTAAAGGGCCACGACCTCACTCTCGGCCTTCCGCCTGACGTTCCGCTCCGTCTCCAGCTCGTTCTAGGCCTCAACAGCCCGCTTACTGGCCTGAGCATCCTTCTCGAGCAGCTCGTCCCGCTCCTTCAGAATTCTGGCGGCTTCTTCCTCTTCAAGCTTCGACCTCGCCTTCAGGTCCTCGAACATCCCATGAATCTCCTCCGCATCCCGACACACCTCGGCCTCCCGCTCCTGGGCGGCAGCAAGCTGCGCGGCCATATCTGCTCGCAGCCGGGCCTCTTCGCTAAGGCGGTCCCACTCCACCTTTTGCTCACGGAGGAAACGGGATTTATCCCGGCTACGAGCAGCGATAATCTGCAAAAGGAAACCAATATCAGAAGTTCAAAAAACACAAAAACATATGAAGAAAGAAGAAAACAACGAGGAAGATCAAGCCGATACCCGGATCATGGGAACAAAGACCTCGCGCAGGACTTCTCCGGCCTGGTTCAGAGCCTCCATCATGCTCGAGATCCCGAGGTCAAGGCTCTCCCGCTCCATGCTCTCGGCATGATCGTCAAGCGAGAGGGCAACCGACGAGGGATCCCGAGGGGACATCCACTAGAGCGGCGGCTCCCCCCGCGCAGGGGAGCGCACACCTCCCGACAAGGGGGCCGGGGGCGGCTCCCTCCTGGTCCTATGCGCCACCACCACGATGCCCGAGCGACCCTCGTGGTGTCCACCTCTATCCGCCCGCCTCATCCACTACTACTGGGGCCGCCGCGGCACCGACCGCTTCCATCCTCGGACGCCAACGCTGGCAACGTCCAGCCACAGGCTTGGAGTGGTCGTGGCCATCTCCACTTGGATCTCCGGTGTGGCGAAGCTCGCCTCCTCCCCGACACCACCTCCGCACGCTGGCGTTGGCCCATGGCCCGGCTGTACCGCGCCCGTCTCAAAAGATACCGCCCGGCTCAACAACCACCGAGGGCGCAGGTTCCACCACAGTAGCGCCGTCGGATCAGCCCAAGACACGCCTCGACATCGCCGCCGTCCCTGCCCTGAAATAGGGGCGACGTCGGCAAGCACCATCCGTCCCACTGAATGGCGAGACTCTTCTTGGGCGCCGGCCAGAGGAGTGGCCCGTCCGCAAAAACCTACACAAAGGTAAGAGGCGTCAGTCAAAATAGAAAGGTAAAAGGATGAAAAACAGGGAATCGGCGGCTTATGGACGCCTTGGCCGTCGGGAGCGCTTTGGGGACGAACCCCAGG